CCTCTCAAGTGTTCATTTTAATCTCAGTTCTTCTTGTCTATAGTACACCAGTTACAGTAACATTCTTCTGATTCCTTAACCACTCTGGACATGGTGTTGTTTCTGCCAAGTTGAGTCTTTCTCTTCCTTTTCACATGGCTGGTTTATTCTCACCATTCTGCTGTAAGTTCAGAGGCTACTCCCCGAAAGGTGACGCCCAAGCTGTTCCATCTAAAGTCTCCTCTCAGACAGTCTGGCTTGTATCACCCTGTTCTGTTTCACTTTTGCTTTATTAACAGCTATCATTACCTAATAAATGATCTTGCCAATTTAGTTGTTGGCTTCTTTGGTGCTTTTTATTTTTTAATCTAACCAGGCAGTAGACTTCCTGAGACCAGGAACCTTCTGTGTCTTGTTCACAGCTTGTTCTCCAGAAGAGAGCCTGACTGAATGAAAGTGCAGCTCCAAGGAAGTGTGGAGAGGGAGCAATGGATGCCAGATGGGAGGTTTGGGGAAGGCTTCATGGAGGATGGAACATTTTAGTTGGGTTTTGAAGGCTGAGCATTACATCTAGGTAGGTATCAGGATGAGTTAGGGGACATTTGGAGCTGAGGAGCGGATGTGTTGAGGAAGCATGCAGCCCAGCATGTTCAGGGAAAGGTAACTTGGTATGGCTGAAACTAATGGTTCTCAGAAGGAAGTGATGGGCAGGAAGGCTCCTGTGACAGGCAGGGGTCTGAGGAGGTAGTCCTTGAAATTGTTTGTGTTTCAGTGATTCTCTATTTAGTTAGCAATGTGTTAGGCTTGAGGACATGAAGATGAAGAAGACACAGTGCTGGCCCTGCAGTTGTGACTTTTGAGCACAGGATTTACAGGGGTCAGAATACAGCAGTTGTTACAAGCACAGCTTCCAGGACCAGGAGTCTTGGAATCAAATCCTGGCTCTGCTATTAACTAGACCTTTGATACCAGCCAGTTCTTAACTATTCTGTGGCTTAATTTTCTCCTGTTCAAGTATGATGATAATAATTGTATTTTTCTCGAGATTTTCTTGTGAGGATTGAGTGTATCAACATTCGTAGCATGAGTCTGGCTCTCAATACATGTTAGCTATTATGTAATATGTTAAAACAACATCTGCTACTTGGTTGTGTTTCCAGTGATGGTTGGATTTTTGGTTCTAGGTTGGTTGGTTGGTTGGTACTGAGAGTTGAACACAGGGGCGCTCTACCACTGAGTTACACCCCCAGCTCTTTTTATATATTTATTTTTTTTTTGAGACAGGATCTTATTAAGTTACTGAGTCTGGCCTTGAACTTGTGCTCCTCCTGCCTCAGCCTCCAGAGTAGCTGGAATTACAGGAGTGTGCCACTGTACTTTGTTCTGTTTTTAAGAAAGATGATTATCAAAAGTGTAGATAATCATTGCAAGAGGGAGATGATAGGCTCAGGAACTCTTGTAGGTTACTGTAATAGTTGAGGCAAAGGAAAGGAAGCACAGAGCTAGGTTAAAGTGAAGATAAAAGATAGTAGAATAGATTGGGTGTGGAGGGTGCAGATTATGTTTTGGAATAAAAGAAAATGGATTTAGTTTTTGGGTCTGTTGAGTTTAAGATGCCCGAGGAAAGAAAATCCATATTTGCTGATGTTCAGTTGAGGCAATAGGGAGATGCCTGAGGTTTAGGATACCAAGGTAAGTTAAACAGGAATTTGCATGCTAGGAATGTGGATGTGCAAATTAACTTTGAACTACTAGGAGTTTAGGTTGAACCTACCATTCCCCTATTCCATTGGCAACGAGACAAATGATAATATTTTATTCTTGTTATATGTTGTAATACACTGCTGGCAGAAGTGCAGGTGTGTGCACTCTCCCTGGAAAACAGGTTGGCAATATTTATCATGAGCCTTTGAGATGTTTATACCCTCTCACCCTGTGTTTTCACCTTCGGGAGTCAATATTAAATTAATGATTTAAATTTATATTATGTATAGAGCTGCTCACCACATTGCTAACATTTTATCAAAAAAGCAAGATCTGCAAACGGGTTTACTTGGTAATAGGAAAATGATAAAATAAATTATGGGTTTGTTCATATGCTGACTATCATCCGGCTGATTAAAAAATTATATTTCCTGGGCTGGGGATGTAGCTCACTAGTAGAGTGCTTGCTTAGCATCTGCAAGACTCTGGGTTTGATCCCTAGCAGAAAAAAAAAAAAAATCTCATTTCCTGAGATTTCAAAAGTGAACTGCTGTGAGGGAGAAAAACCCAATACGGATATACAATTCCTTACCAAATATAAGTTCAACTCTGCTAAAAATAAATATAGTGTTAAGATTAGGAGACAATTTTAGTAAAATTGTCCCTGTGGGTTTTTTCTGTTTGGGAAATTGAGATATGGCTTGGTAATTTGTTGAAGGTTAGTAACTGAGTTTGAATTTAGACCAGATAATAGATTTTGGTTTATTAAAAATTTCCCCTTTTCCTAATGCATCTGCTGATATTCAGTTACTAATGCCATAACAATCTCGACTCACAGACCAAAATTCAAATTTTAATTTGTATTCCAAATCTCGACTATGTTGCCTTTTTAAAAAATGGATGCAATCCATTAAAGGTCGAGCACCTCAAACCTCATTTTCAAGCTAATGTCACATCATTGTACAACTCTGAATATTACATGAGACTATTGACGATTTTTCCCTGTCCTTTAGTTTACAGACATTATCATCCATAATTTTTTAACTTTCTTTTAAATGGGCACAATTTTTACCCAAGGGATGTCTAGACAAAAGATGAGTATAATGCAGCATTGTTGAGAGGGTCCTTCCTTTTAGCTGTTCATCCAGGCAGCAAAGAGGAAGCCATTCTCCCTCAGGTGCTTTCTTGGAGGGCAAATATCTGAGAGCTGTAGAGGTCTTGGGTCATGCCATAACTTTCTTCAATATATTCCTGTTGAATAAAGCATGTTGTTTCAAACTGCAGGAGCAGCAATCTCTCCCTTCCCCATACTCTCTGTCTCTGTCTCTCTCACACACACAGTATCCAGCCCAGTCCCAGCAAGAGAGATAGAACTGGTTTGAGAGAATAACTGGTTTTCATTATAGAAGTTTTCTATCCACATGTAAAAACAGATTAAAGGTTACTGAAGAATTGATGAACCTCACGGTGATTGTTTCCCAAAGGTGTATTAACCATATCTTCCAAAATCCAGCCTATGGAACAGAATTTACCATAGTTTCTGTTTTTTCCAGGACCTTTTTGACACTCTAGATCAAACTTGGGGAATTTTTCTCCTTAGGTGTCCCAACTTCTAAGGTACACCTTCTAAGGTAGAAGCCAGAAAACTTCTTTCCCTGCTTCCCTAAATCCTTATCAGGTGCAGGCATATGAACCCTAGTTCTGATGACAAGACCCAACCCAAGGGATTCTGATCCCAGAGTGAGGGATCTGCACACAGAGGGCAGGGGCAAGCCAAGGCTCTGGTTTGAAGGGTAGCATTAAGGGAGATGTAGAACAGTGGGGCCTTGCTAAAGCAATTTTACAGTCTGATTTAGGTATTTGTTCATGGTGGGAAGCCTCTAAATCCAGCTCTCTGGTCCCCAAAGTGGGCATAGAGGAAAAGCATTCAGCATTGGATAAGAGGATCATAACATTAAGTAAATCTAGTACTAATTTCAACATCATACGGAAATATTTCTTGCCTCCGGGTTGGACAGTGTGTGTGTGTGTGTGTGTGTGTGTATGTGTGAAATAAAAATAACCAAACTTGCCTTCAGGTAGGCCTTCTAGTAAATGGCTTCCTTGAATATCCTTCCATCAGGTTTTGGAAAAACAATTACTTTAGCCTTTAACTGGTGAGGTTTGCATACAATACCCAAAGTTTAATTAGGAAGTACTAAAATAGATAAAATATTGAGCTTATTCCTGTGGTAGAATTCTATACAGCAATAAAAATGGAAAAACTGCCAGTTCAAAAATGATGACTTCTAGTATTTCTTTTCTTTTTGCAGTGCTGGGACTGAACTCAGAAACTTGCACTTGCTAGGCAAGTGCTCTACCACCAAGCTACATCCATAGCCCCAGACATAAATTTGAACAGAAGGAACCAGGCACAAATACTGCAACTGAACGAGCCCTTTTATAGAAGAAAGAAAAACCAAACCAGGATGATTCTTCAGGATACTTTATAGAGGGATGAGCACAGTAGTTTCGGGATCTGATGGCAAGCTATTTCTTCATCTGGATGGTGAATGTGTGAGTGAGTTTATCTCTTTCTTTCTTTCATTTTTTCCCCCTTGTTTTTGTTACTGGGAATTGACCCCAGGGTCTTGCATATGCTAAGTATGTGTCCTGTCACTGAGCTACACTCCCAGTTCTGCTATTTTGGAAAATTATTCACTAATGACTTGTGCCCTTTTCTGTATATACTTTATACTTCAATCAAAAGTTAAATTTAGATTTATGTCATTTTTTGAAACTCTACATCTCTTAACCGCATTTAATCTGACACATGATTGATTGAGTTTAACTACTTATTATGCATTGCCTGACCTAAAGAGTTGGCCTTAATGACTGAAGGAAAAAAATATCAATACCTGGGGAATTCTAAACAGAGTCAGTACGTAAGGGCTATATTTCAATATATTCAAATGAAATAAAAGATCAGCCTGACAAGTTTTATTATGCCAACTAGTCATTTTCAATGGAAAGATCAATCTACTGTGTGTTTAGGTGTTCTCTCAAGTCTCTAAGTTCAGAGTCCCCCAGTGCCTTTTCCTTTGCTATATGGGAGTCCCCAAACCATGACTCTGAAAAACTACGCCTCTTGGAAAAGGTCCTGTGCATGGTAATTCTTTTTAAATGTACAAACAAAAATGACAGATTAAAAAAATTGTTTTTTAAAGGTTAAAAGTTCACATCATTTAATGGGACCCAGCTCTCTGGGGGGAAATAATGATGAGAAAAAAGAAAGGAACAAAGACACCATGGATAATTACACCAAGCAGACAAAGGCGGCCAGAACTATCTTATTTATTATAAAGATACACCGTGAAGAACAAACCCGACTGTATACTGAAGCCTGTAATGGTACATGCCAAAATGTACAGTACTATACAGAAAAGTGCATCGTCACAACAGATTAACAAACATTTTTTTTTTCTTCTTCCAGAACTGTAAAAGCATCCCCCTTTATGTTCGTCTCAGAGAGGAGGGAATGTGATGGTAAGAGGCAGTACAGAGCATGGGCGAACACAATGGCAGGTAGCAGCGTGAGCAGGGCACGGACAGGTGGGATGGGAGGAGACGGAGTCACTGCTGGGTGAGAAAGGCACGGCCACGTCTAGGAGGAACACGAGACAGTCTGATGACCCGCAAAGATGCATGACAGACACCACTGACCACTGAGGCACAGAAAGGCGGGTAGAAACGGGGCAGGGAGGGATGAAGGACGTTCCCAAACACTCAAGTGGGCAGCAGGAATTGCAGGGAGGAGGAGGTGGGCGGGGCGGGGCGACAGTACAAGAGCAAGGCTAAACTCCTCTAAAATAGAAAGGCACTTTCACATGTACATACTACAGATGTACATTGACACAAGTAGGTAACAGTCACAAGCAGGAAGCTACCAGTACTGCAATTGGTCAAACTGACAGGAAAGGACAATACTGATTTAATTACGTGGGCAGGAGTTACCCTTAAGTATGCAGGTAAATAGCAGTCTCTCTTGTTACACAGCCACTTACTATACTTTAATTATCTATAATAACCATCACACTACACATTGAACTTGGATGAATGCTCTAACAGGGGCATTCACAAATGCACGGCTTATATATTTTTTCTTTTACTAAACAATTTCTAAGATAAGCATTATGGAACCCAGTACAATTATTTAAACATACAAAATTCCCTACGAAATTTAAAGATACAGGTACCCTTCTCTATTATACCACATAGACTATTTTCTTTCTTTTTAAAGAAAGCATAATCGGGTAAGTGAAAGCTCAGATTCCAGCTTGTTTTACCCATCTGTGCCAAAGTCACCCTGTACCAAGTCCCATGCTCCAGCCCAGCTGGAGGTTGGGTTCTCAGCCCTGTAGGTGATCCAGAATAGCGGGGCTCTGCACATGGAAGGAGCCTTCAATTCTAAGCTGCTGTGTGTCTCAGGGCCTCTGTGGTGGACAACTGCAAGCAAGACTAAGTCCCAAATGCATTTTTCTGCATTCATAACCTCTCACTGCTATGGTCAGGAGTAAGTATCAAGCCACATCTGAAGTCTTCTTATCCCTAATGGACCCCTAGGCTTTTTAACATTGGATTTCAGAGGCTGTAATCATCAGATGATAGTTTTTTCAGTTAGTGGACTTCAGAGGCTATATCATTCCTAAAAGCTATGGACACCACAACCAACCCATCCCCTGTTTTCTTTTCACTAAATTATAAACCCATTTTGGGAATGGCAAAAGTACATAGGAAATTCTTACAGAATACATTTGACCCTTGGAGCTCTACATCATTTCATTACCGTTCATGACTAAGGTGGTAGATTACATGGGACCCTGCTGTAAATTATTCTATGGATGGCTCAAGGGGCCCCATGGTCAGATTATGTTGTGTGAAGACATGTGAAACTATTGAACAATGGCATCGACACTGAACATGAACATGGAGCTCCACAAAGTGCCACTCAACAGGCTGAAACACTTTACTAACACTCATCAGAAAATGTGTACTAAGTACCTTCCTCTCTATCCTAACAATCCACTCCCCAGATCCCTAGCCAAACCAAAAAGCTGACTTGGTACAGCTACTGCACTGAGTTCTATAAATGGGACATGAACACAGTTGTATCAGCTGTGAATATATATACTTGTGCAGGTGGAATAAGGTTAATATTTATAGCATTATAATTTACTCACCATCAAAATGATCACCTCCCCAAACTGTAAGACTGCTAAGACCCTTGAAATGGAGAGGGGGACATAGCATCTCCAAGACTCATTTCCTTTTTTCTCTCCCTCTTCCCTGTGTCTTCCCTCTGTGCGCTGCACCTGTGGCCCTAAAGAAAGCCGTGAGGCAGGTGAAGCTTCTCAGCTGCTGCAGCTTTTAATGAGCTTTACTGGGTGTTATTTTGGGTCCTTTGCAAAGAAAGTGGTTACCTTGTCTTATCCTTGGACTCTGAAGACTTACTAAACAAAGTAAGAAGAGGCCAGAACTTACTGAGTCCTTGCTCACTTGGAGGTCACATGCTTTGCTTGTTATTGAGGAAAAAGTCTGGAGGTGACTTTAGGAGTATTGGGAGAAAAAGTGGGGAGAAGCCAGAGAAAGGGAGTGATGGGGTACAATAGGAGCTGTTTCCTGAGAGAAGGCACAGTCTCCCAGACTCTACAGCAGCACGTCCTCTGTCATCCAAGGCAGCAGAGGCCTGATTTGGGGGGCAGAAAGGCAACTGTTATTTCATTATAGTGGAAACACTAAGAGAGAAGACCCTGGGGAGGAATACCAGGGAGATGAAGGAATGAACTTGAGGGAGTAAGATCTAAAAGCTATAGTCAAAAGTTCATAGAAGGCATTTAAAAATAAATTCAGAACACCTGTGTCCTTCTCATGCATTTTGTTAACCTCTTACTCTTCCATTAGAGTAGGAAAATGGTTTTAAGAATCCTGATTATTTTTAAAAAACTGAGGATTATAAAAGAAAGTTGAAACTTGTCAGAGAATTTAAGGGAGAACTGTTTAAAAGGGTTGGTGCTATTCAAAACTCAGTCCTAAGTGGGTCTCTGTTGTGTCAAAGGTCTGAACAACCACTGAATTTAGGGGAAATGAATTTAGGCTGAGCTGGGCCTCTTTTTCAATATGGCCAATAAAGAATCATTATGGAAATTCTAAGGCTTATAATTTATAACCATACCTGGAAATACTCGGGGGGCTGCTGGGGGGAATCCCACTATTCAATCCATTTGTGAAATCAGGCCTCAGGCAAGCAATTGGCAATGTCATTTGAAAGATAATAATACTTCATTAATTTAATCTCTTTCTCAAATAGAACAATTAATATGGCAAATTGAGGTAGAGATCAAAGAAATGATTTTAGTACAGATCTTGATTTGTTTCTGCATAATGCATTCACCTGTGGGCCCATTAATTAAAGTTCCTGCTGTGCAGCTCTTAGGTGGACATGCAATTGGATGCCAGTTTGAAACTAAACCTAGAAGGCAATCAAGAGGTGTCCAGCAGAGTTTGTTCTGAGGCATCCATTTTTGTTTGTTTGTTTAACTCGGGAAGTTCAATGACAATGTAGATAAAATGCTCATAGGTTGATAGATGATATCAGCTCCAGTAGTGGGACAATGGTGATTTGTACCTTCATAGGAATAATTGCATTCAAGACAATTTGGGGAGGGCCTGGGGATTAGCTCAGTGGTAAAGCGTGTGTTTAGCATGCATGAGGCCTTAAATTCAATCCCCAGCTCCAAAACTAAAAGAAACAAAAACAAAACAAAAAAAACCCAATTTTTAAGTTAGAGAAATATAGTAAAAATATGGGCTAATGAAAAATTGTCTCTGTGCTAGGATGACAGAGAAAGAGAGTCTCTAGTTGAGCTCACTTGACTGTGAGTTATATAGAGATTACATGAAAAAAAAATCATGGTTCCAAGGTACAAAATTATGAGGAAATCACCCTGGAATCATAAGATAATCTTCCCACTATGGCCTAGCATGGCTTTTGAACTCAAGTACCATAGTCAGTTCTGGGTTGGCTCAAAGAGAAAAATGGAGAGGAGAGCTGGGATTTCAAATGCAGGCTTATCAGGCCTTTGTGATGTATTTAAAGGAAGCAAGGTAATTTTGTCAGAGGAGAACACATAGTGAATCAAGGATTCATGTCCTGTCTGCTCTCTCCATTTCCAAAGAGGATAACATAAGAATTTAGGGGACACATATTTTGTAGGCAGATATTGAACAACAGATTTTTTTTTAGGGGTTTGTGGTATCACTAGAAAATCTTTAACATTAGACTGTTCTAGTCCTTTCTAGGCCCTGATGGACTTGGACATCTCTGGGGCCTGATCATGCTTATGGAAGGATTCACATCTATAGCTTTGAGATGGCATCTCTCTCTCATTTCCCGGGTTCAGTTCAAGCAATAACTGTGAGGTTCTACTCCCTTCACTGGTCTTTCAACTGAACCCAAGGAAATGACTGTTACAGAAAAGGCAATCATTCAACTCATTCAAGCCACGGGCTGAAGGTCCCACTGTGACAACCCTTTTTTAAGTTTTTAGCAGGAGCTTGACCCCTACTCTGAATGGAATCAGAGGTGCTCACTCTCAGCTGCCAAATAGTGCCATAATCTTTCAGCTATTACCCTAAATGCCACAGACCAACACTGGTTCTACTCCAATAAAACCTGGCACTCAGATTCTCCTGCTTTCAGGAGATTCACCTGGGCTCCACTAAGCCTGAAGCACTGGACAATGCGGGGAGTGGTGTTGCCTTCATTACAAGTGGTGCAGCATTGGATTTTCAAGTAAGTCTAAGTGTTTCTATTGTCTTTAAAATGACATATGTCCAGTTATTTAAAAAATTACAAAATACAAATGCCCGTGTTAAGTTAGCTAGTTGCAGACATAACATTCGACAACATAGAAAAGCCAAAAGATCTCCAGTTATAAGCACAAAACTAAGGAAAGTTATGGATCACTGACTTTTGTCACTAATCCGTTTCTTTTAAATCACCTCCCCTTATGCCTTTGCTCAGCTGGTTTTTACATCGTGCAAGACTTGTCTGTTGGACCCTGGGAAGGTGGGGCAGGTCCTATGGTAGGATTTGTTTTTGGAAGAACAGCAGGTTTTGGCCTAAGGGCTGGGGGCTTCAGCTGCACGCCCATTCTGGGTGCCACCATAGGCTTGAAAGTACTCATTGTGTCACTGGAGGAGCTAGTGCTACGTCGAATCTGAGGCTCTGAGCTCCTGAGGGCAATGTTGTGCAAAGGGCTGAGAGATTCTGTGGAAGTAGCAGGGGTGGGAGAGTTTTTCACTTGTTCCAAGGTATCCAGCACCACATCAGGGGCATGCTTTGCTGTGCTCTGTCTCTCCAGTTCCCGGAGTTCATTCAAAGCAGTGTTCATTGTCTCTTCAATATCCTATTGAAAAATAGATGGAAAAACAGACTGAAAATGAATACTAAAGTATAGAAACCCATACATTTCATTTCAAAGAAAACAATTCAGCAGAGCATAGTCTACAGAATGTACAAATATAGCGCCATCCCATGCAATTAGTTTGACTCTAAATGTTCAGGAGACCAAGATGGGGCAATATCACAAACATTTGCCATTCTAAGGCACTAGGAAGCCTCTTGGTATTTTCTACCTTGCATGCTGACTTATTTTTTTTTAATGTATTTAAAAAATATTTTCAGTTGTTGTTGGACCTTTATTTTATTTATTTATATGTGGTGCTGAGAATTGAACCCAGTACCTCACACATGCTAGGCAAGTGCTCTATCACTGATCTGCAACCCCAGCCCTTAAGTGTATTTTCTTATTGGAGCATTATAGTTACACATAGTGACTGGGTTCATTTTCACAAAATCATACATGCATGTAATTTGATTTAAATCCTCTTTCTCCCCATTTACCTCCTAGCTCCCTCTCCTTATTTTCCTTCCTCTATTCCACTTATCTTCCTTTTACACCTTTTTAAAATTTTTTATTGGTACTTTCTACATATACATAAAGTATATGTAGAAATTTCCTATGGCATATTTATATATGCATAGAATGTAATTTTGTTAACTTGATTCTATATTCCACTTTCCCATCCCTCCTCCCTCCCTCATCTTCTTCTACTCCACTGATCTTCCCTTTTTCTTTATGATATTGGAACACCCACCCCAATCTTCTTTCCCTTATTTTTCTCTAGCTTCCATATATTACAGAAAACATTCAACCCGTGATTTCCTGAGTCTGGATTATTTCACTTAGTATGATGTTCTCCTTTTCCATCTATTTACTAGCAAATGCCATAATTTCATTCTTCTTTATGGTTGAATAAAACCATATTGTGTATATATACCACATTTTCTTGATTCATTCATCTACTGATGGGTATCTGGGCTGATTCCATAATTTGGCTATTGTGAATTGTTCTGTTGTAATATATATAATGAAGTGGCTATATTACTATAGCATGCTGGTTTTAGTTCTTTTGGATAAATACCAAGGAGTGGGAGACCTAGGTCAGAGGTGGTTTTATTTCTAGTATTTTGAGGAATCTCCATACTGCTTTCCAGAATGTTTGTATTAATTTGCAGTCCCACCAACAAAGTATGAGTTTACCCTCCCCCACAACCTCTCCAGCATTTATTATTGTGTACTTGATAATTGCCATTCTTACTGGAGTGAGATGAATCTTTGTGTAGTTTTGATTTGCATTTCCCTGATTGTTAGAGATGTTGAACATTTTTTTTCATATATTTCTTGGCCATTTGTTTTTCTTCTTTTGAGAAGTGTCTATTTAGTTCTCTTGCCCATTTTGGGGGTAAATATTATTATTTTTTTTTGCATGTTAAGATTTTTGAGTTCTTTCTATATTCTGGATATTAATCTCCTGTCAGAGGTACAGAGGACAAAGATTTACTCTGCTCACACTCTTAATCATTTCCTTTTTAATCTGATGACATCCCACTTATTGATTCTTGGTTTTCTTCTTGAGCTTCAGGGGTCTTGTTAAGGAAGTAAGTGCAAGTGCTGACTTTGTTTTCTTCTAGCAGTTGTAAGGTTTCTGGTCTAATTCCTAAGTCTTTGATCCATTTTGATTTGACTTTGTGAGGGTGAGAGAAATCTAATTTCATTCTTCTACATATGGATATCCAGTTTTCCCAACACCGTTTGTTAAAAAGGCTATCTTTTCTCCAGCATATATTTTTGGCACCTTTGTCCAATTTATCAGACAGAAATTAGTATATGGGTTTGCATCTGTGTCCTCTATTCTATTCCATTAGTCTTCATGTCTATTTTGATGCCAGTACCATGCTGGTTTTGTTACTATAGCTCTGTAGTATAATTTAAGGTCGGTATTGTGATGTCTCCTGCATCAAATTTCTTTCTTAGTATTGCTTTGGCTATTCTTGGCCTCTTAGTCTTCTTAATAAATTTAAGGGACAATTTTTTTTCTAATTCCATTTCCTGTCTTCTATTGATTTGGAATCAGTTTGTTCTTCTTTTTTAAGGACTTGAGGTGGAACATAAGCTTATTTATTTGGGATCTTTTTGTTGAACCAAGCTTATCTCCCTGCATTAAAACCCACTGGATCATGGGGTATTATCTTTTTAATGTGTTTTTGAATGCAGTTTGCTAATATTTTATTAAGGATTTTTGCATCTACAGTCATCAGAGGTATTTTTTTCTTATTTATATATGACAGTGGGATACATTACAATTCTTATTACACATATAGAGCACAATTTTTCATATCTCTGGTTGTATACACAGTATATTCACACCAATTCGTGTCTTCATACCTGTACTTTGGATAATAATAATCATCACATTCCACCATCATTAATAACCCTATGCCCACTCCCTTCCCCTCCAATCCCTCTATAATATAAATATTTAGGGGTTATATCACTATAGTATGCTGATTTTAGTTCTTTTGGATAAATACCAAGGAGTGGGATTCTTGGTATTTTTTATAATAAATTTTCCTCTTTAGAACTGCTTCACACTATCCCAGAGCTTTGATATGTTTTATCATATATGTTCTCATTTTTTTCTAAGAATTTCTTGTTTTCTTCTTTGATCCATTCTTTATTTAGTCTCTCTGTGTTTATGTGGTTTATATTCTTTTTCTTGTTGATTTCTAGTTTCATTCCATTATGATCTGCTGGAATGCATGAGGTTATATCATTTTTTTGTATTTTCTAAAATTTACATTGTGACCTAGAATATGGTTGATTTTGGAAAAGGTAGCATTAAAAGAAAGTTAATTCAGTTGTTTTGGGGTGAAATAGTCTGTAAATATTTATTAGGTCCATTTGACTTATAGTATTATTTGAGTCAGTAATATCTTTATTGATTTTATATTTGGATGACCTATTGGTGATAATGGTGTTTTGATAATACAATATCATTTAACAATACAATATTATTGTATTGGGATCTATCTGGGGTTTAATGTTAAGAATTATCTTTTTTTTTAATGTAATTAGGTGCACTAATATTTGGGGCATATATATTATTATCATTATATCTCTTGTTCCCTTACCAGGATATAGTGATCTTCTGATTAATTTTTCTGTCTCTTGATTAATTTTTTGCTTAAAATCTGCTTTGTCAGGCATTCTGACTTATTGATATGAAATTCTATTTCAATTTATGATAAAGGATTGCTTAAATTTAAACTGCGACAATCTCTCAAGAAATATAAATAAATAGGATCTTTCAAGAAATATAAATAAGGGGCTGGGGATGTGGCTCAAGCGGTAGCACGCTCGCCTGGCATGCGTGTGGCCCGGGTTTGATCCTCAGTACCACATACAAACAAAGATGTTGTGTCCACCGAAAAAACTAAGAAATAAATATTAAAAAAATTATCTCTCTCTAAATATATATATATATATATATATATATATATATATATATATATATATAATCCTTGGATAACTCCTGGAAGTTCTTCAGAATTCAGTTTAGGTCCTTCCCTGATGCCATTATCCAGTGGATTTCAATGGATGTGGTACTATCCCATTGTGGGCATCTTTGTAATATGGTGTGTGTGTGTGTGTGTGTGCGTGTGCGCGCACGCATACATGTATCCTAAATGTCATAATAATGAGGTGACATCCTAGGCATTCTGTTGTCAGGAGTCAGACATACCAGATATCTTATAAGTACCCTGGATAGTTCATATAATGAATTGTCCTGCATATTGTTCAATTTTTGAATGTCTTCTATAGACATTTGTATAGGTGAAAACTCTATTTATAATAATCAGCACTTAGAACCCACCTCTTAAATTTTCAAATATTTTAATTGACACATAATTATATACATATTTATGGGATACAGTGTGATATTTTAACACACACACATATAATGTGCAATTAGATTAGATTTTGAAGTATATTTGTCATCTTATTTCTTTGTGTTGGGGGCATTTAAAATATTCTCTATTAGCTATTTTAAAATATTTAATTAAATACTGTCAATCACAGTTACCCTATGGTGCTACAGAACACTAGAAAATATTTCTTAATCCAAATGCACACCTGAACCAGCAATGGTCCTCTCTCCAAACTAATCCCCTTTGAAGACTCTTGCAGTCACTTCTCTACTTTATACTTGTATGGAATCAATTTTTTAGTTTCCACATTTACATAAAAATAGCTGATATTTGATTTCATGTGCCTGACTTATTTATGTCACATAATTTTCTTCATTTCCATCCATGCTGCCACAAATGACAGATTTCATTCATTTTTATGGCTGAATAATATTCCATTCTTTCTATATATCACATTTTCTTTATCTATTCATCTATTAATGGCTAATTCCACACCCTAGGTTATTGTGAACAGTGCTGCGACAAATATAGGAGTGCAGATATCTCTTTGACATACAGATTTTCTTTCCTTTGGATATATGCCCAGGATGTTTTGGTTACTGTAGCATTGTAGTGTGTTCTGAAGTAAGATACTGTGATGCCTTGCTTTATTCTTGTTGCTCAGGGTTGCTTTAGTTAGTTGGGATTTTGTGGCTCCATACAGATTTTAGGAGTGTTGTTTTCCCCTATTTCTGTGAAGAATGTCATTGGCATTTTGATAGGAATTACGTTGAATTACAGTGGCATGAACACTTTAATAACATTAACTCTTCCAATCCATGAACATGGGATATCGTTCCATTTTTTGGTGCCCTCTTCAATTTATTTCACCAGTTTATTTTACATAAACTATGTTATTCTAACTATATTTTACCTATGGGTTTGCCATACATAGCTTTGGTTTTTTATTTATTTACTTATTGTGGTACTAGGGATTGAACCTAAGGCTTTGCACATGCTAGGTAAGTGCTCTACCACTGAGCTATATCCCCAGTCCCTTTTATTTTTCATTTTAAGACAGGCTTTTTCTTACTT